ATTTCTTATGAAACAGTTAATGTGAAATGCTGCCCCTGGATTTTAGCATTTAAAAGTTTTACATTTTTAATAAAAATATAGGACATAGTTATGAAATTGTATTTATTCCTGGGGGTGGCACTTGTATTATATTTCTGCTTAAGAGTTGAGGCAGATTGTTAAAACTAACTAAAAAGAATATGATTACTATGAAAGTGCTAGATCATAAGCAGCATCAGAACTCCCCAACCCTATCAGTGTAGTTTGAAATAAATAAATATTAATAACAAGCCAGCCCAGACTGGTGACTCCTACCCAATCCTGGCTGGTGGTAGTCATTAGAATTTAATGCGCATCCTCCCAGAGCCAGAAGGAATTGGGGAAGCTGTCTTTTCCACCCCTCTACCTTCCAAACTTCAGAACCTTCAGAAAGCTGACACTCTCCCTTGCCTCCATAAATGTCATCACCTTCCTCCAAAACCTGCTCTTTGTGGATCAGGAGGGTGTCTGGCCCAGGAATCAAACTTCCGGCTCAGGGGCAGTCTTCCTCCTTTACCTGCCAGGCGAAGCCTCCACCTGGGCTCTCTACCATTTCCCATGGGAACGGGTTCCGTCGCGGGCTTCCCAGACTTCCCGATCACCGTGTTCCATTCTCTCCCATCACACCACCTTAGGGGACTCTCCGGCTTTCCTGCAGCCCTGCTCCACCACATCCTACCCCTCCAAGCCCACTCCCACCCTCCAGATCCCACTGCCTTGCTTATTTAGGCTGCATTCCAAGATCTCTGCCTCCATTTTTCATGCATCTTTTTTTCCTTAATATCCAAGGGATGTAAAGACTTTAGCACACTGCCTAATACACAATAAGTATTCAACGCCAGCAAGCCTGATGATTCCTGTTACTGTTATCCTTATCATTTCATCACCATAAAGCCGCTAAAATGGCTCGCTCGGGCCACCAACAGCCTCTTCATCCTCACACCTGGTGGCCTTTTCTCTACCCCACCCTCATGGACCTTGCACAAGGGAATGCATCCCTGCTTGCTTAAAATTCCTTTTTTCTTTGGCTTCTAGGACACCTTCTTATCCCAGCATCCCACAGACAGTTCGGAACCAGGACGTTAATCAGCACACACAGGTGGACTTGAACTTGAAATCCCAAAACTTGTTGGCCTGATGCTGCCTCTGGCCATTCACCCAAAACCAGGAGACACGGAACACAAGCCTGCTCCTGCGTCAGGGCCCTTGCATTTGTGACCCCTCTTCCCTGACGGCACTGTCACATGCCTCACTCTCTGGCTTCTTCAAGGTCTCAGCTCAAACGCCACCTCCCCTGAGAAGACTTCCCCGACCACCAGGAGTGTCTCAACCAAAGGCAAAACTCGGTGACCCAGAAAGACAAAAGCAAAGCTGTCGTGCCCACCGTCCCCCCCCCCACCCCCAGGTTGCTGTATGGTCGACTCACTCCCTGCTCACCTGGATCAAGGTCTCCAACTCCTGGGGGCTCACACACACGTGATCCCGCAGGAATTCCGCCTTCTCCAAGGCGATGGTGTTCTTCTGGCTGCTCTCAAAGGGCTGCTCTAGCGCCCGGAAGACGAGACCACCGGCGACGAGGTAGACCACCACGACCACGAAGATGGCGACCACTGTCTTCCACTTCATGACGGTCTGCAGGCCCCCCTGGGAGGCACCTTCCATTCTGGCTACCACCGTGGCTCGGGAGGAAATGGAGAGGCGTGGAGCCGCAGGTTGCCCGTTAGTGGCACTCTTGGGCTGACACGCCGGCGGCGCTGCTGCAGGAACGGCCACTGAGGAGTCAGGGTAGGGGGACAGGGGAGAAGAGAGTTTATCAATACAGAGCACAAAACTAGTCCGAAACAAAGCGCAGATGTCTTCCTTGAGCCAGCTTTCAAACGTGAAGATTAAAAATCGGCTCGCCAAGCCTGCAGTTAGGAAATTTGATCAGCTGCTAGGTGGCCCGCCCATTGGAGTTCTAAAAAATGAGCACCGAGAGTCTTAGCTTTTTTTTTCAAAAAAGAAAAAAGTATATGTATTGAGTTTGAAATGCTTACATTTTCCTGCAAAGGTCCAAACTGCAAAGCCATCTCACTGTTATTTATAATTCATTTCCTCCCTTGGTTTCCTTCTCTAAAAAAGTGTGTAAGAAACACGGTAAATAGCCGTGTTCTAAAACAGATGTATTGTTCAGCTTGGAGAAGAAATAAATAGAAGGATACCCAGCTACCCTATCCAAGTCCCAAGGGCTAAGGAATAGCAAGAGCAGGGAAGAGATGAACATCTTCTAGCGACTTTAAAAGTCCCTCTTGCCACAAAGCAAGGGAAAGAAGGATGAGTTTGCTGTAAGGGAGAAGAACCAAAAATCAGAGACAGTAAAGGTGGTTTGGGTCTCTGAAGACTGTCAGTAGTAAAGACAAAGACAAAGAAAAGTGGAGGTTATAAGGGAAGGAAACAAGTGATGTTTTATGTCAATTAACCTTTTCCTGGAAAAAATAATAATAAAATTAGATCTTACCTAAATGTATTTCCTAATAGAAAATGTGATGACTTAGATGTAACCACTCCTGATCTATTAGCAAGAGAATTCTTCTTCTATTGTTTTCCAATGCGATGCCATTGGAAACGAAATTTCTCATGGTTTTCAGAACACAAAGATTTCTCTAAGGTCCCTGTTCTCTGCACGAGCAATTGTATTACCTTGGAAATAAATATGTTAAGCTGGAGGCTTTTCTGGGATGGCAGGAAGTTCATGCCGGTGTCACACACGTAACGCTATCATGCATTACAGAAATCTGTCCTGTATAGCGACGAACAGCCATTGCACTTCAGTTTCGTTCTCCATTTCTTTTTCTAATCCTTATTATGGCCTCTGCAGTGGTGCAGCCCAGCTGTTGTGTAAATAAGGTATCAGGAGATGACAAACCTAACTACCAAAGTGGGACAGTCCAGTCCAGTTCAGTGGGGGCTAAACTGCCCAATCTGTGTTGGGAAAGCCAAGCAATGTCCCTCCTCATTCAAAACACCCATGATCCTGACAACATCTGGCCATAGGGGTGGCCACTTAAGAGAATCAAAGTCAATAAACCTCTATCTGCTTCTCCCCCTAGACTCTAGAAATCAGCTTTTTGAGAAGCAAGCTGAACATCAGTCTTTTTATGGTCTATTATTCTGTCCAATAAAACCATTCAATGTTAGATTTCCCTCAGACTTATATGACCACAAAAATTGTCTGGAAACTCTGATTGAAAGATCTATAAATTTAGAATCAGCAACCTGGGCTTTATTGCCTGGCTAATCCTTCCCCAAAGACACTGCATTGGGGTTCCTCCTTGCCCTTGTTGGTGCTGAGAAGGTGAGCCTGTCCAGGGTGGCATTTCCCATTCTTCCACCTCCTCGTGTATCTCATCTCTTGGATTTTTTTCCCCATCCCCATGGCCAGCAGCCTCTCCCAGGCCACCAATCACATCCTGCTGGGACCAATCCGGCAGGCTCCTAAAAGTGACCTTCCTGCTTCCATCTGTACCCAGCTTCCAACCATAAATCTCAGGCTAAACTCCACTTCTGGGAGCAGCTCCTCCCCCATTTCCCTTACCCCCTCTGTCGCAAGCAGAGAAAAGGCCTGCAAAGATGTCCACACCCTATAATGCCCAGGACCTACCACTATGTTACCTTACGTGCAAAAGAAACTTTGCAGATGCGATTAAGTTAATGATGTTGAGAGGAGAGGTAACCCCGATTATCTAGGTGGGCCAAGTGTAATCACAAACATCCTTATAAGAAGGCAGCAGGAGGGCCCGAGAGGGAAGGGATGTGAGGACAGGGGCAGAGGCTGGAGCAAGGCAGCCCCGGACCACGGGCTATGGTCCCTCTAGAAGCTGGAAAAGGCAAGGGAAGGATTCTCCCTTAGCACCTCCCGAGCAACCAGCCTTACTTACGCTTCGATTTGGGCCAAGGGAGACTGATTGTGAACTTCTGGCCACCAGAACCAAACGATAATAGATTAGTGTTGTTTCATGCCGCTACGTATGTGGTAATTGTCACAGCAGGAAACTAACACACCCTGCACTAGATTAGGGCTTCTTTGCCCTGCACTCGCTGCACGGTGCTGCTTGTCCAGCTCGCCCATGAGACTGAAAGCTCAGGAGGGCAGGTGCCCTGTTTGCCCCTCACCTCTGTGTCCCCTGGGCTCTGCACAGCACCTGGCACACAGTGGGCGGCCAGTCGATGGTGGTTGAGTATGAGAATGAAGTATGGAAAGAAGGAATGTTGGCACATCCGAACCACACAGATGTGGATGAGCAGCATCGAATAGAAAATGACTAGACACTCCGGCAATCCTGAACAGCAGGGCCTCGAGCACAGCGGCACTCTGTTCACACCTCCACACCTTGGCAGACTTTGTTCTCTTGGCCGGTAATCCTCTTCCCACCCTCATCTGCCTGGCAAACTCCCACCCTCCTCGGTCTCAGCCTAAAGCCACTTCCTCCATGAAGTCATCCTGGATTCTTCCAGGAAGATTCAGTGTGCCAACACTCTCCACTAGCCTATAAACCTCCCGGAGTCAGAAAGCTCATCTTTTAATCACTGGGGCTCCATCTCTCGCCACAGTGCCCTGCGCAGAGTAAATGTTTGCTTTCTGTTGTTGTTGCTGTCTTTGCTGTTGTTCTTGACAATTCCTTCAGATTACACACAAACGCCCTATCAGAATCACCACCATCCTCAATAACAAGCATTTATTTAGCCCTGAAGGGGCACGAGGGGCTGTGCCATGGTGGGGATAAGCCATGGTCCCCAGCTTCAGAGGGTTGCCACTCGGCTTAAGGAACACTCCACAGAGCCAGGTGACTAAAATGAGCTTAAAGCCTCATCACGTGACAGACAATGGCCTGAGTATGGAGGCCAGTTGGAGCCTGGTCTTCCTAGCTGACCTGCACCATGGAAGGTTCCAGAGCTTCTAGCATCCCTGAAGCTGGGCAGAATCAGACTTGAGAAAGGTCTTTTCAGGCACCAGTTTGCTAAGAGACTGTCCCCGGGAGCAGAGTAGAAACAGAATCCACCAACTCCTGAGCTTCTAAAGCACCAGGGCAAAAACCAGAGTTTCAGTCCCAAACCCAACAGTGCCTGGATGACCTTGAAACTGTCACTTAGTTTTTCTGTTTACCTGTAAAATATGAATAATAACAGCTGCTTTTTTAAAAGAAAAAAAAAAACAAACCTGTACAGGGCTCTCAGAAACAGCCAACGAGCCGCCCCAGTTTACTGACAGGAGCGTATTTGTAGACATCAGGAGTCCCGGCAAGGACCTCAGAATGTTACAAAACCTTTTGTGCATTTGAGTCAGTCACTTTAGCAAATGTGACTGCATATTTCGATGGCTGGAAAAGGATTTGGATTGTGCTTACATTGGATAAATTTTCCAAGGGTGTTTTAACCCATTTCTTCTCCTCAGATGCCATGGTCGCTCTAGCTCTAGTACAAAATTGCCCTGTGACCCAGGACAAGCCACTGGAGACCCGTGAGCCCGGAGCCAGAGAAGCAGCACAACTGGCCAGATGGCGAAGAGGATGGTGGTGAGGAAGGCGACGGGAGCCCCGGCTGCTACCTACTGAGCACGTCCTTGTGCCTGTCACTCTGATAAACACTCTGCTCACACCGCTGCATTCGGTCCTCGCTACGAGGCATGATCACGCTGTGTGAGTCCAGGTCGTCCCAGGGAAGCAGATGCCAAGAGGGGATTAAAGGCACATAAATTTTATTAGGGGAAACGTGTGTGTCAGAGACAATGAGAGAGCCCGGGAGGCTAGGACAGCCGTCAGACACTCCGTAAGTCTGAGCACAAGCGACGGAGAGAGGGAAGGAACCCGACGGAGAGAGGGTAAGCGTGCTAGACCGCCTGCAGTCTAAGGAGGTTCGGCAAGACCTTCAAGGAGTTCTTGAGCCACAGTGAGCCGTCTGGGGAGTCCTGTGTCTCCCAGGAACCATCCTGCCGTGGCATCCCTGCTGCGCTCTGTCCCCGGCTGGGAGCAGCCCGTGGGAAGTGAACCTGCGATGCAAGCCCAGCAACGATTTCAGGGCAGCGGCGGGGACCCTGGTCAGCGACACGCCCTCCAGTTGCAGGCCTGCAAGGGCGTGCTCACGGCCACCACACAGCCCCCATCACAGATGCAAAAAAAACTAAGACCCAGACAGATTGAATGGCTAACCCCAGGGCAAGCGGCCAGAAAGGGGAGAACCCAGGATTAAAACTAGCATAGTCTGACTTCCAAGTCTGTTCCTTGAAGCGTCAGAGCAGGAAAACAGGAAACAAAGCAATTCCAGGTGGAAACAGCCTTTTCTCAAAAAGTGAGAAAAGCATTTGTTTCACACAGGCATAAAAATATCTTCCAGTCTATGAGATCGATTGATTCAGTCTCCCAGCAGCAACGGGATTCTTTCCCATACGGTGTATCAATAATGGGTGGATCGTATAAAATCCAACAGAAAGGTGTCTGGCAGCAAAAGCACTGCCAAGAATTGATGAGAAAGGAAATGTTGGAACGCTTTTGTCTTCAGCCAATTTTCATTTTAAAATGTTTCCTCATAAATGTTGACACGTTTCATTTTTACCTAAATGTGGGCGGATGCTGGCGTGGGGGCGTGCGTGGAAACCTGCTTTTTCGTGGTTGAACAAGTTCTAAATAATTGTATATTATTCAGGCTTTCTCAAGCCTCATAGGTTTCACTGCATCATCCATTCACGCATTCAATCAACAAACATCTGAGATTGCCCAGCACCACGGGGCCACGTAACTGAGAAAGGCACTCCTCTGCCTTCAGAGGTAGTGGGAGAACTGACAAAGATCTCATGCATGCAGGAACCTATTTTATCGTCACCAAACCTTCTGTGGAAGGCAGTGATTATTTTCTGGCCCTCGTTGAGAGATGAGGAAACTGAGGCCCAGAGGGGTGTGACATTGAGTAGGCTATCACAAGCTAACAAGCAGTGGCATCCTGGAATCCGTCTTCACACACCTAACCCAGAATGCCTCCACACCACCTGAAACAAATGGCATCCAAAGGATTCAGAGTCCCTTGGAAACCTGAAATGCAGCCACCTCAGAGGTGCCACTGTCACACAGCAACGTGGCTTTGCTTATCGACCCAGGCAAAGTACAATTCTGACTGCAGACTCACTGGCGAGAGGAAAAGAATACCCCACCCCGCCAACACCACCCCCAGGTCTGGAATCGGCCCGGGGCCACCCGCATTGATGCTCAGAGCTGTGGAAGAGCAGAAGAGCAGCAGGTGACAGCTCAGTCTGCAGTCCCCAAAAGGCTCCCCTGGGAGTCAGCAGATTTGAGGCTGGTGGGGAGGGAGGGTGTTAGGAAGAGGGCAGGAGAGGTGAGTAGACAATTCCACCTGTCCACGGCTGTCGCCGCAGCTCTTAGAGCAGACAGAGTGTGTGTGCCCCCTCTTATTCCTGGCACTCCAATGGCCGAATCTTGTTTTTCCTGTTGCCATGTGACACTCGTACCTTAAAGGTGATCAAGCTGGTCCTGGTGAGAACGGCAATAACGCTCAGTCTATACACACTAAATGAGCAAGCCGTGTTCCCAAAATGCCACCTGGGAGAGGCTCTCCCCCGGGTGAAGCACTGCCCCTCCTCCGGGCCCTCCTTAAAACTTCAGCCCAGGCTCCCAGAGGGAAGAGACTGAGGTATCACAAAGTACTTGGACCCTGCAGAGCCAGGAAAAGGGGAATCAAGGCTGACAGGGAGGAAGACGGAGCCAGAACTGACTGTCACCTGTTCTCACATCTGGCTGCACCTCTCTCCCTGGCCGGGACCCTCATCCCCTCTCTCACCTGAATCGCTGTGACAAGCTCCAGTCCTGTCCCCCTCCAATCCATCCTCCACAGCCCACCTCGCCGCGCCCTCTCAGGTGTGAATCTGGTCACACCCACCCCTGCTTAAGACCCTCTGAGGGCCCTGTGGAGACTCAGAGTAAACTGCAATCTCCACGGTTTCCTCCAAGACTCCCTTCCAGGACGCGGCACCGCCTATCTCCCCAGCGTCACCCGCTGCCACGCCTCCACGGGCAACCTTTGCCCCGGCCAAACCCCGCAGCACCCAGGCCCGTCCCCGAGAAGCAGGTCTTGATTCCCAGATTCCTTTCTCCTCTCAACTCTTTTTCTGACTCCTTCTCATACTTCAAAACGCCCCTCGTGTGTCACCACCGCCAAGAAGTCCTCCCTGACTGCCCACCCCCCAGTGTGATCAGATGATGCCCCTCCTCCAAGTCTCAGTGTGGAGTTCAGTGGAGTGCCTACAGCTAGGAGGCTCCTAGTTACAGTTTGTTCCACTCCTGAATTTGTTCGTTGTTGCATCCGTACATTTGCCTCGTGCCAACACTTATGATGTCAAGTTCATACATCTGCCCGAAAGAAAATTTGACTGCACAGTTAATCTAGCAGATAGAAGCAACCCTGGTACAGCTGGGGGTTTTTTCCCACAGACAGACATCCAGAGTCAAGGTGTAAAAGTTCTCAGAAGGCAAACGGTCCAAGTAGAGCTCTTCACGGCTGCTAGAGAGGATCAGAAACTCACTTTACTGTGATCCTAACACTCTCAGTTCTGCCCTTTCTTGTTCTCTCATGAAGGGCTAGAAGCTTCTCTTTTACTCATGGGTACAAAATACTTGGTGGGTTAAAAAAAAAAAAAATCAGGCCGGGCGCAGTGGCTCACGCCTGTAATCCTAGCACTCAGGGAGGCCGAGGCGGGCGGATTGCTCAAGGTCAGAAGTTCGAAACCAGCCTGAACAAGAGTAAGACCCTGTCTCTACTATAAATAGAAAGAAATTAATTGGCCAACTAATATATATTATTAGCCGGGCATGGTGGCGCATGCCTGTAGTCGCAGCTACTCGGGAGGCTGAGGCAGTAGGATCGCTTGAGCCCAGGAGTTTGAGGTTGCTGTGAGCTAGGCTGATGCCATGGCACTCACTCTAGCTTGGACAACAAAGCGAGACTCTGTCTCAAAAAAAAAAAATCTATGGAATGACAAATCATCCTTGGTGAGTCACCTCTTTGGTTGCAGGCGGGCAGAAATTCTCTCTAGTCTGTCTTCTTGGGGTCTTTCGGACTAGGACCAAAATTCACAAACTTGGATTGGAGGATCCAAAGACTGGAGGACTTTCTTGCCCCATCCCATTGTTGCACCCTCACAGCCTGGGGAGAGTACAAAGGGAGCTGAGTTCATTTGGGGCTCAAAGGACCAGTGACTTCCTTCTCAGGACTAGTAAGCAAATGGTTTCTCCTGATCTTCCCCCAGATCTCTTCGTCGTGTATTTATAAACCAAGGGCATGGCCCAAAGTCGGGGGCCTCTCCACCAGCAGACAGGGCCCAGAGAATAAGGCTGTCAGGATTGGGGAGAATAGAGGATGGGACTCTAGCAGCCATCCAGTCTACCCCCACAGGGTCGAAGTTCCATGAGAGACCCTCCCTCCCGGGAGACATTAAGCAGGGCTCCTGAGAACAAGAGTCCTCTCTCCGGGCTTCCCTCCTTCCTACCTGGCAAGGTACAGAAGTAGTAGCACTATGAGGAATGTTCAACACAATAATGTTGCTCGATGCCTCGTTCAAAGCAAGTCCTTGATCCACGTGAGCTGTCCATATTATTAGGAGGTGGAGGGAACTATGTGATCTACGCAAACAACTGCAGCAGAGAGTGCAGTCTATGCAGGTATGGGGCACGGAGAGGCATGAGGAGGGAGTGATGATCAACCCCACCAAAGAGGAGACCAGAAGACTGAAGACTGGTGTGGAGAGAGGATTAAGCATCTGCCAGAGGGCGAGGGGACGCAGAGAGGGAGGCAGACCAGCAAGAGGGAACGACGAGTACAATGACACTCTCAGCCATGAATCAGCTTGGGACATTTAGGAAATCACACTGTGTCTGTGTGTTAGGACTCGAGGGTGTGAAGACAGCTACACCAAAATAAAGCTGGAGAGACAGGCAGGGGAGAGCATGAGAGCCTTGTTAGTCTTTTAAATGCGTGCGGGACGCCATCAAGGCTAACACAGGGGGAAGAGCCATGGGATCAGAGTCGGGTTTAGCACGCTGACTCCGGCAGCGCCGTGAAAGATGCATGGAACAAGCGAGAGACAGGCAGCAGGGTGTGTGGGTGGGAGTTTGCTGCAATAGAGTACGAGGCTTCAATTCTGGCCATAGCAGGGGACGGGTTCGAGATGAGGGGTGTTAAGGAAGTAAATCTGCAGGTCCTGTGATGGTAGAAAGGCAGAAGTGTGGGGTGGGAGAGGTCTGGCATGGCTCCCGGGTATCTGGCTTGTAAGAGCATGGTGTCCCCAACGCAAACAGACGACGCAGGAGACTTCGGTTTGCAGTCCCTGTGGCCCATGCAGGCGGAGCTACCCAGTAGACATTAGGCACAAGGGACTGGAACTCTGGGGGGAAACCTAGCTGGATCCCTGGGTTTGAGAGTGTTAAGTACATAAGTGCTATTAAAGCAACAGGACAGGATGAACTGGCCCAGAGGGAGACATAAAATGAGAAGAGAGCAGAAGATGGTGCTCCAGGGAGCAACATTTAAGGGACAACGGAGGGAGGGGCACAAAGAAGAAAGAAGAATAGCGAGAGAGGAAAAGCGGACAGCCAAGAGGTGGCTTCCTGGGCAGCAGCGTCAGAGTTGGTAGATCTAACCCAGTCTCTGTGTCCAGCAGCATTCAGGAGGCCTGTCCCCAAGAGGTCTCGGGGTATCTGATGACTCAATTACTGTCCTGTAGTATCACTCTGCTGCTTTCACACCTTTCTCTCTCTCTGGCTGCCAGGAAACTCTCCGCAATAGAACCCCTATTCCAGAACTTCTGGGTATTATACGTCACCCCTGGTAGCAGCTGGAATGCCTTTATTGCTCCAGTGAAATGAACCATCACCCTCCCAACCCAAGGCACAAAGAAAGAGCCAGGGACCGGAGCTATCCCTTGTGTGCGCTGAGCTTGGCAGAACAGCCCAGGCATTTCCCACTGGACCGTTCATCTGTCAGGCTCCAGAGCTGCCCACGTCACGGTTCTCCCAAAGACCCCGACTCTGCCATGCTGATGAGATGGACTCCTCTGTCCTGGCTCCGTGGCCAAGGCCCTAAAGGTGCACGGCCACTGCTGGGGTTCATGTACCTTGTTCCAAAATGCTTCCTGAATATCACATTTTGCCTCTGGCCCTAAGTTCTTTCCTCCACCATTTAAACGAACTAAGGCAGTTTTAAAAGGAAAGATCTTTTCCTCTCCTTGGGGTTAAAAATAATATAAGCAATTGCAGTTCCCAAAATACCTCCTTTCCCCTGGGGGCAAGTGTTTTAAATCCTATTGTCAGGGATGTTCCTTCAAGATGGAGGTTTGCCTTTCCCAGGTGTCTTGTCAAAAGCGGTTGCCTCTCCTCACTGGGCTCCTGCAGGGCAACCCTCCACGCCAGGCTCCACTTAGCCAGCAGATGATCCCTCTAAAATTCCCATCTTGCTCCAGCTTTAAACCCATACCCAGTCTTGTTGCTCTTTCTGTGGGCTGCAGCGTCCCCTGTGCTCGAGGTCTGCCTCATTTCTCCAGCCCTGCCCACCCCCACGTGCTGTTCTCCCAGCCCAGCTAACTCCCTTCAGCATCTGCAATCACAGACAAATAGAGCATCAGTAGTTGTACCGATCTCACCAGTTCTTCCTACAGATCCATAGTTGAAAGCGAAACTGAAAAATATTTCTTAACCTATTAGGGAGAAAGAGCCTATGACTTAAATCCATGCCCATCCTATTGCCTAATTCCCTAACCGTGGGAAATCTGTTCATTGCATCCCACCCAATAATGGTGATACAGGTAGCTAGAGGTACTTCAATAAATTCTATATATATCCAAGCGTAAATGCACGGAAATGACAAGTGCACTAATGGTTTACAATGAGGAAAAGGAGTTGCATCTAGAAACTTGATGTGTTGTTCATGCACTTATTCCACCAATGCCTGCCTACTGTGTGCTAGGAACCATACCAAACTCCACACCCAGTGTCTGGGCTGCTAAGCTGCCACCCACCAGAAGACTGAACAGGCCAATTCTTCTGAGAAGTGCAAAGCCAGCAAAGCCACTCCATATAGCTTTGACCTCTGTTCCGTTCTCAGCTTCCTCTCCTCTGACCCAACTCCAAGCCATTGCAAAGATGCCAGAGGAACCCCTGCTGCAGAACTGAAGACCTCTCCCACTTCCTGATTCTCTTCAGGGCACTTTCCCACATCTCTTCCCCTGCTATTTGGGCTTTTCCTGAGGACACTGTGCTCTGAGTGTGGCTTTCACACTCCTGCCAATTGGTCACTGGCAACAGAAAACCCCTGGAGGGTATAAACTCCTGGTAATACCCTGAGAAGAGGCTCTAGTAGATGAAGGAAAGTCCTCTGAAAAAGGCTGTAGGGACAGGCCAGGAAGGGAGAAGCCCACAGGGAGCTGGATGGGTGCACAGGACAAAACGGAGCTGGGTGACCTTGGCAGGGCACCAGTAGTGTCCACTACAAACGCCCTCTCCCCATGGCCACAGCCTGGACCTTGTCATCAGGAGAACTGTCCCTGTCTGAGAAATACTCAAATAAAGAACCTATGACCACTGTGGTCTGAATGTTTGTGTTCCCCTCAAAATTCATACAGCCTGACCTCCAGGGTAAGGGTATTTGGAGGTGGGGCCTTCGGGAGGTGATTAGGCCATGGGAGCAGAATCCTCATGAGCAGTATTTATGTCCTTATAAAAGAGAACCCAGAGAGATCCCCCATGCCCCCCGCCACTACCACGCGAGCACAGAGCAAGAAGGCAGCTGTCTGTAAACCAGGCAATGCATTCTCACCAGACACTAAATCTGCCTAGGTATCTTGGACTTCCCAGCCTTCAGAACCATGAAAAATAAATCTCTGTTGTTCCAAAGCTACCCACTCCATGGTGTTCTGTTGCAACAGCCCGCAAGACTAAGACAGTGACTTGCACATGCTGCCCTTCCGGCTCACCCCCCTAATTACTCCCACGTCACTTCCTGCCTCTACTACCTTCTCCTCTCCGTCCTGCCCTGCCTGCGTCTCCTCTCTCTTCTCCACTCAGCTTAGATCCCACGTTCAACACTTCATTTCCGCTAACACACTCAACTCCCTCTCCTTTTGTGTTTTCCTGTAGCTACCTGGAAATACCCCTCTGTTAGTCCTTCTCTCTGCCCAGAGTCCACACGCAGGCTGCTGAACACTGCTAGAAGAATCTAAAGCCTCACAGATGGCTATCCCTCCAAACGCATAGCTTCCTTCCTCAGCTTGCCCGTGAAGCCCCACAGCAGTCCCTCGCTGTTTCCCTGCTCAGAGACAGCTGTCTCGATAAATGTCACGAAGACATCCAGGTGCACTTCACTGCAATATCTATCTGATCTGCAAGATAGACATTTATTTACTTTACAAAAGTATACTCTGCAGAAAGCATTTAAACAGCCCGCTCTGTGTGCATCCAAAATGAACTTTGGTTTCTACTTACATATTTTTTAAAAGCCTCTACCTGCCAACGTAGCTGCTCAGCACGCCTGGCTCATTTCATAGTCACTAAAACCTCCCACAAAAAAAGTTAAATGGAAAAAAAAAATAAATTTAAATGGTTCTTCCTTCACTGTGCCTACTAAGTCACAAAAATAAACAAGATCCATCG